ACGATGGTGGCATGGTAAGGATCAAACCATGGTTTGTTTAAATGTGGTGTATTTAATAACTACATTTCAGGCTTTGTTATTAGCATTTTGATAAACATGGTATCCATACCTCCTTTTGAAGTTTAGGAAACCCTAAAGTTGTACATAACAGATGTGAGTTCAGCCAAAGGTGGCTTGTTCAATGACCACATTTAAACAAACCCTGGCTTGATCCTTAGCATTCCACCAAAGCCATTTCCTTGGATGTGCAAAAGGCAAAAAGCAAGCAAACAACAGAGCTGTGTTCTGAAGACCTTGATCAAAGTTGCAAGTATTAAGAAAGAAAGAAAAAACCTGGGGGGAAAGGAGAAGATGCAACTTAGTTTAAGAGTGTATCTTAACGAAACAAAATCTTTATTGCACGTGAATGTCTTTTATGATTTGATTTGTTGCTTTCTGACTAGTCACAGACATATAATATATGCAATATTTATTTCTGTACCCTATATAAAGACTTGACCCACCTTAACAGCTTTTGCTTTGCCTGAAGTACTTGTAGTTCCTATTGTGCACTGAATAAATACATTGCCAGAAGATTGGCTCAAGGTATCTGGTTCTTTTATACCCTGTAGGGCAGGAGTCCTCAACCTTGGCAACTTTAAGACTTGTGGACTTCAACTCCCAGAATTCCTCACCCAGCAAAGTCCACAAGTCTTAAAGTTGCCAAGGTTGAGGACCCCTGCTGTAGGGCTTTAAAGGTGATAACCAGCACCTTGACTTGCACCCGGAGAGCAACTGGAAGCCAGAGCAGCTCTGGTGTTACTCGGCTGAATTGCAGGGCATCCAAAATTGTGCATGCCGCTGCATTCTCAGTCAGTTGCAGCTTCTAGAATCTGGATAGTCTTCAAGGGCAGCCTCACGCAGAGGACATTGACGTCATCCGAACAGGAGATGACTAAGCCATGGGTAACTGGGAACAAGGCTCACAGGAGCAAGAAAAAATGCCCAGGAACGCACAGAAATTTTAAAGATGACAGCCAACTTCAGAAGCCATCCTCTTCTTAGAAGAGGCAAATAAGGAACCAACGAATTATGCAAGTATGTTGTAAACCTTAAGTCTCTGAATGTTGCANCCTCCAGAAGCGGTGAATGCTCCAACACTGGAAGTTTTTAAGAAGAGACTGGACAGCCATTTGTCTGAAATGGTATAGGGTTTCCTGCCTGAGCAGGGGGTTGGACTAGATGACCTCCAAGGTCCCTTCCAACTTTTTTATTATTATTATTATTAT